TTTTTCTGGGTACCGCGCCGCCACAGTTCTGTGTGATCGCGATCAAATCAGGTCGAGAGCTACAGCCCCGGGAGCCCCTGCAGAGGCCCACCATTGGCGAGACCTCCAACCCTCAAGGCGACGGCGGCCGCGACAGAGCGAGCCGCGCCCGCCAGCCGCCGCACCACCACAAAGGGGGCCTAGGGGGGCACACCTACGGCGGTTGGCCCTAGACACTGGGACGCACCACCCAAACGTCTTCCAATCTCCCTGGGTCCCCCTCGAGACCCTGACTACAGTGGCAGCCAGCGGACGGACGAAGGGGCCGCTTCAGCCACACGCTTGCAGGGATACGGCGGCGCTCCGCTTGTGGAGACCAAACATACCTTCACCCCCACGGTTGTTAGATTACATGTTTCGGGTCCTCCTTTCCTGCGGGGCGTCGCGCCGCCACAAGCTTGCGTGATCGCGACCAGGCTAAATCAGGAGCTGCAGCCGCAGGAGCCCGGGCAGAGGCCCACCCCTGGCGAGACCTCCAACCCCCACGGCAGCGGCCGCGCCAGGGCGAGCTGCGTCCGCCAGCCGACCCACCACCACCACAGGGGTAGGGGGCACACCACGGGCGGCTGGCCCCAAAACACCGGGACACACCACTCAACTGCGTTTGAATCCCCCTGGGGCCCCTTCGAGAGCTGTCACGGTTCCCTCGAATGGCTTGCCGAAGCGTTTATAGGACAATCAACCTCATAAGCCACTCTCACAAGTGTACGCAAACCTGTTTCCAGCGGATAGCAGCAGTTCGAATTAGACGCTTCTGCCTGGGCACGAACGCAAGAGCAACACTATTGGCCACAGCCTGAGACAGACACGCGCGTGCGACTTCACTGCCAGCCCATCGCCATTGCCGAAGTGTCAGCTCCATACTTCGATGGCGAGGAAAGTAGACCGTGACCCCGCCGCCTCTCAGCCTAGACATCGTGAAGCCTCCAGCACCCAAGCCGAAAGACCCAGCAACTGGGACAGTTGATTCCTGGCTCCTGGTCCCGTCGCCTGACAGACACGATCGACAGGCTCGAGCAGAAAGCGACGGTACCTCAAAGTTTTTCTGCCGTTGCCATCTTTCAGACCCACCACTTTTGAGACGCCCGTGCGCAGGCCCACTTTGGAGGCCTCGATGAGCAAGCATTACTGCGAGGTGTTCCTTGATCAGGACATGCTTTTGCTCGAGTGACCAAGAGTTACCCCGTGCGCACGAACGCGCCAAACCCCGCAAGCATCACGGCAGCCATGGCTTTCCATCCTAGGCCCCAGGCTGCGGCCGCCAGGGCCAGAACAGTCCCAGCAGAGAGAAGCGCGGCGCGGCAGGGCGCACACTCATTTTTTGAACGACCAGATGAGACTCCAGTTACATTGAAAATGCACTTTCGGATCTGGCATCATCCACTGGAGGGCCGCCGCAGCATTTCGGCTACAGCTCTGACCAGCACGCCTCGCTACACATGAGAACTTCGCGATCGGCAGCACTCAGCGATAGCAGACACCAACCATGAGCTCCCCAGCATGCGAAAAATAAAGTCGACCCGCACAGCGAGCATAATGATCTCTCCACCCGCACAGCGAACATAATTATTTGGAGGTCGCGCAACGGCGCGCCTTCTTGAGCATGCTGCCAGCTTCGTCTTCTTCCAGCATCTTTTCTCACAGCTACTCTTTTCGGCGCCATTCCTTTGGGATGAATTCTCGCGACGGTCCCTCACTAGGGCCCACCGTGGCATTGATGTAGCCAATGCCCACGTAGAGATGTGAGATTGGCGCATAAGACCACGCAGCTTCGCCGACGAATTGCGCCTTCGGGTCAAGCTCGAGGCGACCACCTGCGAGTCAACCAGGTGCCGCACCGTCACGCCCGTGAGAGAGGCGGCACGGGTCCTTGCCAGAGGGAAGCGTTCAGTGCCCTGAGCTTCAGTGCCCTGACGCGCAGGTCCCGCGCGCCGATCTCCAACGGGCGCGACAGCGTTGGCCTCCAGCGCCACTGAGCGGGGTCGATGGACGCCCGCGTCCGGGCTCCCGGGCGAAAAGGAGCCCCAAGATCCAGGCGAGTGTCACTGCCTGACTTCCCAGCAAGCGTCCAAACAAATCTCCACAACTCTGCGGCCTGATTCTGTCTTGCGGCTGGGGCCCCGGGAGAATTCGACAGTCTCGCCCAGCAGGTCCCTCACCTCGAGCTCGGTAGTGAGCCCTCGGAAGCTCGCTCTGGCGATGCCCCGCCCGAGCTCCACCTTCAACCTGGGGAAGAGCCAGCTGACAACGCCGCAGGCCGAAGCGTTCCCTACGAGGCAGCAGCGCTCGGTCTCGACGCTTGAATGGCAAGAGCCCGACCTGGCCACGGAGGACGAGTAGCGTCAGAGGAAACCCATCAGAACCTCCCTCTCCGAAGCCCAGGGTGGCCTCAGGACCCCCTTTCTAGTCCCGAGCCATCAGCTCGCACTGGTAGGGGGGCACGCGTGCTGGTCCTGAGCCAGCAAGCTCTGAGCTGCCTCAGAACTCGCCGCAGACAATCCCGCGGGCTCGTACGGGGCGCTCTTCTCACGCCGACGGAGGAACGCACAGACTGGGCCCTCTGACGAGGCCCTGCAGCAACCAGGGGAGACCGAAGAGCCCTCGGGGGCACGATGGGGCCCCCACGGCTGAGATGGGGCCGCAATGAGCCTTGGGCTCCCCAGGGAGCTTCAGGACCGAATTCTTCCAGGGCAACCAACAGAGACGGGGCCGCCGAGATCCCGTGCGCTGGGAGTCGCATGCGCCCATGGCCTCGACATGGAGGATGCGGGAGAACTCCTGGACAGACCCTGCGCCCATCGATAGGACACCATCCGCCAGCCAGCGCGCGGGTGCACTCATCACTGGGGCGAGCTTGCGCACCCCCCTTGGGAGTGCGCGTGCACAAACCGCTGCGGGGGGCACCGCGCGCGCCCGTGCTGGTCCGCGCTCGCCCCGCGCGCGCCCCGGCACGGGCGACCTCCAACGACGACCGCCGCCGCGACTGCGTCCTGATACATCGCCAGGGCGTCGATCTGACGACTGTGAGTTTTTTTTCCAGCGCGCCGCAAACCCCGCTCAGATGATGAATCCTCTGGCCAGCCTGCGTCAGATCACAAAGGGCAGTGCTCCCGAACGACGTTGCGCCAGGAAAGCTGGAACGTCAACTGTCCTCGATTCGTAGCCTGTGAATGTCCTCGGTTCGGCCCATTTCAATCGGTCTGGGCCACCGCGAACGTAGCACCCGTCTGGCCCCCTTTCTCCGCATCGCTGTTCATGTGGCCGGCAATGGCAGTGCCCGCGCGCGCGCGCCAGCGACGCGGCCGCGCCCCCCAGCCCGTCGAAGAGGCTGACAAGCAGGATCCCCGGCCCGGCCGAACTGTCGCACTTGCTGAGCTCCACCGCTGGCTTGATCAGCAGTTTGCCAGAGTAGCCAACGACGCGGTGCCTCCAAACCTCAAGGCCCCCGAGGGTCGACAGAAACTTTTGGCCCCCCCAGCAAGCCCCACCGCGGCGCACATGCGGGCACCTTCCCCGCTGGCGTCGGAGCAGGACACGACGCCAGAGGTCATAGTCCTCAGGCTGGTTGAAGTGAGCGGCATGAGTAGGCATGCGTGCATCAGCTCGTGTATGATCAGCTTTGTCAGCAGAGTGCGGCCCGCTACAATCTGCTCCCACGCGGCATTAAACACCGCGAAGAGCGGCCGCCTGAACTCCACAGAGCGCACCCAGCGGCCCATGAGCACGAGAAGCTGGTTGCCACGGGGGTGGCCCTTTGAGAGCAGCCACAACGTGAGGCTGTACAACTGCCCGTTTTTGGCGCGGCCATTTGCGGACCGGCCAACAACGCCATCCTTCTCGACGCCCATGCGGAGGAGCTGCCTCTGGTTGGCCTTCGCCTCGCTAGTTGGGATAGCATACTTCAGGTAGCTCTCCCGCATCTGGTGCTGCAAACTCCCAGGATGGACCACCTGTGAGCGCGCCTAGCCTATCGACGCCACCTCGCAGTTGTCGAAGTCGTCAATATAGGAATTCCCCCGTTCACACAGGCATGAGCCAGCCAGGGATACGACACATGAAAGACGCACCCCTCTTGTCGCCCCAGCTTACACAGGAGTACCTCACCAAGCCCAAGTGATGCGCTGGCCCGGACAGGGGACTGGACCGCGGTAACTGAGCCCCCCGCCAGTGGACGGAAGTAGGTATGTGCGGGCACCCTGTTCAAAATCACCCGCGCTACTCGCTAATTACTCTAACTTCCCCTCCGCCGGGGCCCCTGCCTCGGCGACTGTGAACTGGCCGCCAGCAACTTGCCGCCCGCGAGCCCGAGATCATCGGCGGGGATTGGCGCCAGAAGTCCTCGATCGACGATCTCGGCAACAATTATCCACCAGTCTTCGAGCTTATCGACGTTGACCAGCGCTTGCGGGGAAAACTCCGGCCACTCTGACGCGGGCAGAGGGGACAGCTCGGGCTGAAAGGGCAACTCCGCCGGCTCGGGCCCGACGCAAACGAGGACAGCGAGGCGGCCGATGTCGCGCGCCTTCGGGGGACCTGGCTCCAAATGCCCAAACTTGAGCGGCAAGGCCCTGCGATCCTCGTCAAGCTTGTGGCTCGCGTGCGTCTTCCTCAGCTTGCGGGGCCAGTAGTGGACGTCGAACCCCCGAGGCACGTCGCCGACGCGCCGCTCGACCGACTGCCCGACGACGCGGAGACCAGCAGCCTGAACTTCTGAAATCCCCCCTGCTGCTTGCCAGCGGCCCTCAAGTGGCCCACGCGCAAATAGTCGAGGCCAATGACGCCGATGAAAGTCCACGCCGACCCAGTGGCCTCTCGCGCCGGCCGCTCCCGCGCAGACGGCCAGTCGCGCAGCTAGAGAGGCGACCCTCGACTTCGACTGGGTCGATTCTGGCAGCCACGACCGCCCCGGAATCTCCAACAAAATCTTCCCGCGAATTTCTGCGAATCTCGAATCTCCAAAAATCTCCCTGCGAATCTCCAAAAAAACTCGCGCCTTCGAGATCTCCTGGCGAATCTCCACTTCGCGCCAAAAAAATGTCCCAGCGAATCTCCAAATATTTTCCGCCATAGATTTGTAACTGGAGATTCGCTGGAGATGTTCAAAAGATTTCTGCGCGCCAGAGATTTTCCGGCGATGTGCCGGAGATGTTTCTGAGATTTCTGCCCCCCGGGGAAATGCCGCAGATTTTCCACGCTTATTTTACGCGCATGAGATTCCGCGGGGATTTCCCTGGAGATTGATACAACGCTCAGAGATTTTCCAGAATTCTCCCTGTGACCTTTGGGACGAGGGTGAGAGCACGGCCACGTGCACCTTAGTGCATGTCAGAGTGAGGAGGCTGGACGGTCTTTCCTTGTCCCTGCGTGCGTGGCTGAATAAGGAATTCGTGGTGAGAACTCTGCTTGTTGCGTTGTTGTTGCTGTTGTTGTTGGTGTTGTTGGTGTTGTTGTGATTGCTGTTGTTGTTGGTGGTGTTGTTGGTGGTGTTGTTGTTGGTGTTGTTGGTGTTGTTGGTGGTGTTGTTGGTGTTATTGTTGGTGTTGTTGCTGTTGATGCTGGTGTTGTTGTTGCTGTTGTTGTTGTCGTTGTTGTTGTTGGTGTTGTCGTTGTTGTGTGTTGTCGTCTTCCCACCCGCGACCCACCCGCGACCCACCCCGCGACCCACCCGCGACCCACCCGCGACCCACCCGCGACCCACCCCGCGACCCACCCGCGACCCACCCCGCGACCCATCCGCGACCCATCCGCGACCACCCCGCGACCCACCCCGCGACCCCACCCGCGACCCACCCCGCGACCCACCTTCAAGGGAGGAAAAAACACCCAGACCCGACAATTAACGTTTACTAAACGGCCGTGGGCGTTTACTAAACAGCCCTGCCCTCTTCGATTCATTCCTTGTGCGTTCACTAAACGGCTTCGCTTGACGGGGTAGTTCTTATGGGGTGGATTTTCTGCCCTATACACCCGCGACCCACCCGCGACACAACAGCGACCCAACCGCGACCCACCCGCGACCCACCCGCGACCCATTTGCGACCCCCCCGCGACCTACCCACATTGGTTTAACGAGAAATCGGCGCCTGCGGCGGGCTCGTTGCACAACTTGAGAAACTTTGGCGCCTGCGGCGGGCTTCTCCAGAGCATCGCAAACTGCCGACGTCCCCACCGCCCCCTCACTCTTATCCGCATCTGCGGGGTGCTACGTATTACAGGGAACCGTGGCCGTCTGGGCCAACAATGTAACAGGCATTGCAGCGAAAGCACGATTCCCGAATACATTGTGAAGACGTCTCGAGCGAAACCGCAGCTGGGCCGGGCGGTCTAGGGCTCTCCGTCCCCCCCGTGGGACTCTTCTGTGGTCCTTCTCACAACCATCAGGACCCTCTGGCGAGACGCCATTAAGGAAAGAAGGACGCACTCCATCTGGAGTGGCTGCTAAGAAGAGCGCACAGGAGGGAAGCCTCTTTAAGCCGTCGGCCGCTGGACTTCGCACCTAGACTTCACCCTATTATACCCACCGGCTTGCAATCTATATTTCTCATCGTCCTCCTCCTCCTCCTCCTCCTCCTCCTACTCCTCCTCCTCCTCCTCTTCCTTCTCCTCCCCCACCTCCCCCTCCTCCTCCTTCGAAGCAGCCTCCTCATCATGCCACCTCATCCTGCTCCTCCTGCTCCTCCTGCTCCTCCTGCTCTTCCGTCTCCTCCTCCTCCTCCTGCTGCTCCTCCTCCTCCTCCTCCTCCTCCTGCTCCGCCTCCTCCTCCTCCTGCTCCTCCTGCCCCTCCCTCCTCCTCCTCCTCCTCCACCTCCTCCTCCTCCTCCTCCTCCTCCTCCTCCTCCTCCCTCCTTCCTCCTTCCTCCACCTTCCTCCTCCTCCCTCCTCCTCCTCCTCCTCTTCCTCCTCCTCTTGCTCGTCTCCTCCTCCTCCTCCTCCTCCTCCTCCTCCTCCTCCTCCTCCTCCTCATCCTCCTCCTTCTATTCCGCAGCGTCCGCAGCCTCTGCAGCCTCCTCATCATCCCTCCTCCTCCCCCCTGCTGCTCCTGCTTTGCCTGCTCCTCCTCCTCCTCCTCCTCATCCTCCTCCATCCTCCTCCTCTCCTCCTCCTCCTCCTCCTCTCTCCTCCTCCGTCCTCTCCTCCTCCTCCTCCTCCTCCTCCTCCTCCTCCTCCTGTCCTCCTCCTCCTCCTCCTCCTCCTACTCCTTCTCATCCGCCTCCTCCCTCCTCCTCTTCATCCTCCTCCTCCTCCTCCTCCTCCTCCTCCTCCTCCTCCCCCTCCTCCTCCTCCTCCTCCACCTCCTCCTCCTCCTCCTCTCCTCCTCCTCCTCCTCCTCCTCCTCCTCCTCCTCCTCCTCCTCCTCCTCCTCCTCCTCCTCCTCCTCCTCCTCTTCCTCCGCCTCCTCGTATTCCTTTCTCCCACCTCCTCATCCCCCCTTTCCCTCCTCCTCTTCCTCCTCCTCCTCCTCCGTCTCCGCCTCCTCCTCTTCCTCTTCCACCTCCTCCTCCTCCTCCTCCACACAACCTCCTGATGGAGGCACCCTTCTGTTTTTTTGCTTTGCCAGTGCTCAGCAGGCAAGGCCCTTCCACTGCGGACACACGTATTGAGTGCCGTCCTATCCTACCCTATCCTCCTCCCTCCTGGGTGGAGTACGCCAATTGCCTGCCCCCAGCAGGTCGGCGCGTGGCGGGAGTCGATGCACTTGGGCGCGTTCGTGAGGACCTCCGCACAGTCCCCCCGGGGAGCCCGGCACGACCGATACCACGGACAATGCAAACGTCCCTGTCGTCGTCGTCGTCGTCTTCCGCCTCCTCCTCCTCCTCCTCCGCCTCCTCCTTCCCATCATCAGCATGACAACTATCATCACCGACGTCGGCATCGTCATCATCACCACCACCACCACCAGCATCAGCATCACCAGCAGCACCAACATCAACAGCATCAACATCATCAACATCATCAACAACATGAAATTCATCACCCACATCATCAACAATAGCATTACCATAATCCACAAGCCTTCTCTTCATTCCCCAATTGTCCACAGCCCAAGACTGCCCGAGGGCGTGGTCATTCTTGTCCTACCCGCTCATCATAATCCTCGTCCTCGTCCTCCTCCCGTTCACCCGTCTCGTCCTCCCGGCGTGTGTGTGAGTGTGTGTTTGGATGGGTGTAGGTATGGGTGTGGGTGTGGGTGGGGGTTGTGGGTGTGGGTGTGTGGGTGTGGGAATGGGTGTGGGTGTGGGCGTGGGTGTGGGTGTGGGTGTGGGTGTGGGTGTGGGTGTAGGTGTGTAGGGGTCGGGGTGGGGGTACGGGTGGGGGTATGGTTGTGGGTGTGGGTGTGGGCGTGCGTGTGCGTGTGGGTGTGGGTGTGGGTGTGGGTGTGGGTGTGGGTGTGGGGGGCCAGGGTGCGGTTACGGGTGGGGGTGGGGGTGTGGGCGTGGATGTGGGTGTGGGTGTGGGCGCGGGGGGTCGGGGTGGGGGTACGGGTGGGGGTGGGGGTGTGGCTGCGGGTGTGGGTGTTGGTGTGTGCGTGCGTGGGTGCGTGCGTGAGTGCGTGCGCTCATGTGTGTGTGTGTGTGTGTGCACGCGAGCGTGTGTGCGAGTGTTTCTACGCTCTGTCGCTGCGCGCGCGGGGCCGCGACGCCAACAACTGTGTGTGTGTGGTTGTGCGGTTGTGTGTTGTGTGTATGTCTGCGTGTGTTTGTGCGTGGTTGTGTTTATGTGTGTGTGTGTTTGTGTTTGTGTTTGTGTGTGTTTGTGGTTGTGTTTGTGTTTGTGTGTTAGTGTTTGTGTGTGTTTGTGTTTGTGGTTGTAAGTTTGTGTGTTTGTACGTGTGGTTGTGGTTGTGGTTGTGTGTTGTGTGTGTTTGTGTGTTTGTGAGTTTGTGATTGTGTTTGTGTTTGTGTGTGTGGTTGTGCGTGTTTGTGTTTGGATGTGTGTTAGTGTTTGTGTTGTTTGGGTTGTGATTTTGCGCTTGTGATATTGCGCTTGTTATTGTGCTTGTGGTTGTGTCTGTGTTTGTGTGTTATTGTGTGTTTGTGTGTGATTGTGTGTTGGTCTGGGTTTGCGTGTTTGCGTTTGTGTGTGTGTTAGTGTTTGTGATTGTGCTTGTGTTTGAATTCGTGTTTGTGGTTATGTTTGTGTTTGTGGTTGTGTGTGTTTGTGTTTGTGTCTGTTTGTGTGGGTTGTGTGTGGGAGTGTGTTGGTGTTTGTGTGTGTGTCTATGTTTGTGCGTGTGCTTGTTTTAATATGTGTGCTTGTGTTTGTGTTTGTGTGGGTGTGGGTGTGAATGTGTTTGTGTTTGTGTGTGGGTGTGGGTGTGTGTGTGTGGGTGTGTGCGTGTGTGTGGTTATGTGGGTCTCTGCGTGCGTCTGTGTGTTTGTGTGTGTCTCTGTGTGTGAGCGTGTGTGTGTGAGGGGGTGGGGTGGGGGTATGGGTTGTGGGCGTGGGTGCGGTTGTGTGTGCGTGCGTATGTGGGTGTGGGTGCGGGCGTGGGGGGTGCGGGTGCGGCCGGGGGCGTGGGCGTGGGTGCGGGCGTGTATGTGGGCGTGGGTGCGGGTGCGTGGGCGCGTGCGTGCGTGCGCGTGTATGTATGCATGTATGTGCGTATGTGTGTGTGTGCGCGTGAGTATGTGTGTGTTTGTGTTTGTGATTGTGCTTGTGTGTGCTTGGTATGTTTGCTTGTGTTTGTGGTTGCCGTTGTGTTTGTGTTTGTGCATGTGAATGTTATTGCGTTCGCGTTTGTGTTCCCGTGTGATTGTCACTTTGTGCGTTGTGTTTGCGTTTGCGTTTGCGTCTGCGTTTGCGCGCGCGTTAGCGCGCGCGAGTGTTTGAGCGAGCGCGCGTGGATCCGCGCGCGAACACGCGCGCGCGCGCCCGCCCCCCCGCGCGCAACGAGCATAACGCAGCGCAAAATTACAAGCCGATGCGCGAGCGAACGCATCACTCAAAGCGCTCCGAGTGCACGGGCAAATTCCGCCCCCAGCCTGCCCCGCGCCCCCGCTTGGCCGTCCAGCAGCACCAGGGCGGCGCCGAAGTCGACCACGGGAGACGGCAGGGTGAGCCGCCCGCCGCCTCGGGGGCCCCGGCCGCCCGCCGCCTCAGCGGCCAGAGCTCTCGCCCCACGCCGACTCGGCCCCCCCTGGGCCGCGCGCCGACGCGGCGGCGCGGCGGCGCCGCCCGGCGGCGTCAGCTCGGCAGGGCGCATCCTGAAGACGCCCGCTCAGGATGATCACGACGCCGGCGTCGCTCGAGCCAGCGACCTTCGCCGTCGCGCCCGCCAAGGACCCCGCGCAGACCGGGAGCCGCCCGCCGCCAGGCCAAGCCGCGCGCGAAGCCGCGGGCGCGGGCGCGCGCCTGCGAGGGCGGCCCAGCACGCGCCTCGCCCGGCGCGCGCATCACCTCGTCGTCGCCAGCGGCAGGCGCAGCAGCAGCAGGCGGCTGCGCGAGCTCAAGGCCAGCGCGCGCGCGCCTCGTCCAGCCGCGCGCCCCCCCCGCTGCCCGCGATCGCCTCTGCCGCGGAGGCGTCGGCGGGGGCGCCTGACCGCGCGGCCGCACTAGTGTCGGGCCCTCCCCCGATCGCCTCGGCCGACGCTCCAGAACCACTCACTATCGCCGCGCCCTCCGCGCCCCCCCACCCGCCCGCCCCGCGCCCGCGATGGATCCGCGTGCGCCGCCACTTTCGGAGCTTTCTGGCGACGGGGACCGTAACGTAGTGGGCACCGAGCTGGAACCCAGGTGTGGGGGGAACTGCGAAGCTGTCCCCGTTTTCGAGGGCTCATCGGGGGGTACACCGTAGCGGATACCGAGCGGGGACTTACATTACACCTCGCCGTCACTGGGGGGCTGCGAGCTGCGGAATTGTCGCCACTCTCGAGGGCTGCTGGGTTGGACAGGGTAGTGGCACCGAGCGGGGACTTAGATTAGGCTTCGCGATCCCTGGGGGGCTGCGAACTGCGAAACCGTCGCCACTTTCGAGGGCTGCGAGGGGGGAGCAACGTGGGTTGGCAACGAGCGTGGCCTCATATTTAGACCTCGCCATCCCTCTGGAGGTGCGAACCCCACTTTCGAGGGCTGCTTGGGGGGGGAGCGTAGCGGATTCAGTACAGAGCGGGTATCAATACTACACCTCGCCATCTGGGAGGGGGTGGGGGGCTGCGAAGGGCGGAATCCTTTGCCATCGATGGATTTTGGGAGGCCCAACACAGCGACGCCATGGCGGGACTCGCTATCTCTGGGGTAGGAGGGGGGGGAATGCGAACCGCGAAACAGTCGCCACGTTCGAGGGCTACTGGGGGGCCCAGCACAGTGACGCCCTACGGGGATTCAAACTAGGCCTCGCCATGCCTGGGGGGTGCGCTGCGAGCTGCGAAACGTTCGCCAATGTTGAAGACTGCTGAAGGTCCCAGCACAATAATACTCTTCGGGGATTCAGACTGGACCTCGCCATCTCCGGGAGGAGCTGCGAACTGGAGGGGGAAGGGGGCAACACATTGACGGCCTACGGGAATCCAGATTAGACAGCGCCATCCGTGGGGGGGGGAGCGGGGCGGCTGCGGATTACGAAACTGCCCCCAAGTTACAAGGCTACTGGGGGTGAGTGGACGTACGGTGACGCTCTATGGGGATCCAGATTCGACCTCGTCATCCTGGGGGGGCTGCGAACTAGGAAACTGTCCCCACTCTCGAGGGCTGCTGGGGGCCCATCACAGTGACGCCCCTACGAAGACGCAGACTCGACCTCGACATCCCTGCGGGGCTGCGGACTGCGAAACGCTCGCCACTCTCGAGGGCTGCCGCGGGGGCAGCACGGTGACATGATCATTCGGGACGCAGAGGCGACATCGGGTCGGCGTCGCTGCCCATCAGCGAGCCACTTGAAAGATCGTCGACTTCGTCTATCCTACATCCTCCGTCGCTCCGTCGTTGGCATCCGGTTCCCCCTCATCTCTCATGCTGTTCCTGCGTCAACGTTTCAGCTGCCCCTCTACAATCCTCCCCGCCCCCTCCCTCTTCGAGCCTTCGGCTTCACTCCTCGTCTCTAGACTGCTGTCCTGCGAGTCGCGCAACGAGCCGACACCCGATGCAGCTTGCGAAAGGAAAGACGGCTCCTGTGTTGGCACCGTCCATAACAAGCTAGGCCCAATCATCTGGTCACGTGATGCAGAGATTGATAACTCGGATCGGCGATCGAAATTACTCGGAGCGGCGGAAATCGGCAGCTGCGTCGGGAAAAACATCGGACCCCCGGGCATCGGCAGGCCAGTGGGCCTCCAGTGACAAAGTCAGAACCCATATCGGAATCCCAGGTCGAATCGAAGCGGGATCGGAAGCCATCGAGGTCAAAGCGAATTGGATCGTAGGAATCGAAACGAGCCCTGGAAACCTGGGCTGGGTACGTCGCAGGGTCGTGTTGTGGATTGCCTGGGCGTTGGCCTCCATGTCTGCAGGGTGGGCCGGCGAGGACGTGGGCAGGGGCCCGGTGGTTCGCTCGAGCTGTTTGCCTCGACTCGCCCTCCTCCTCCTCCCCTTCCTCCTCCTCCTCCTCCTCCTCCTCCTCCTCCTCCTCCTCCTCCTCCTCCTCCTCCTCCTCCTCCTCCTCCTCCTCCTCCTCCCTTTCTGACATCGAGGTTAGCCAGCCTCTTCCCTTGCGCCTTGCGCTCATCATAGATCGCTGTGCCCGTGGGCCGAGCCCCTTGCTGCTGCACTGCGCAAAGTCTGTACACCGACGCCTGTTCTAGCCCCGCACCGGCACTTGCACAGGAAAGCGGATCCCGGTGCATATGGGGCCCTGGTGTTTATATATATATATATATATATATATATATATATATATGTTCGTTGTTTCCCCAGGGAACAAAAATAATGTGCACCACACCACCCCGACGTCGCCCCCAACCAGCAAAAAAAGTGGGACTGAGAAACAGCCCGCCACTGGTAATGTATATGCTCCAGTTTCCGACGTGCTTATATTTCTACTCAAACGCTTACGCTTACCCGTCGGCCGGATGAGGTAGGTAAATACATCAAGTAGGAAGGCGGATAAAGCAGATTGGGTTCAGGCCCTCCCAGAGAATAACAGCACACAGCAGAAACACATCGACTATTGCAATAGGAAGGGGGTTGAAGTCGGCTGGGATTTGTGAGTCCAATGATACCTACTTAACGACCGACGGGCATCCGTCGCCCTCAGTACTGTTACTCCCACTCACGTGCCCGACTACGAGCCAGAAGCGGACCTAAATTGGGGTGCCACGCGGATGCTGACATTCCACGGCACATGACCTCTGTGGCCCCAACGCATCCAACTGCGCAGGAAGTGTCGACAACTGTCTTCTTGGTGCGCAAGGCCAGATCTCAGAAGGTCCACGTGTGGAAAAGAGGGGGTGGGTCGTTCACCGGGACCACCCAGGAGCTCAGGAAAGTGCGACCGTTCTGCCTTTGAGGACACCAAGAGAGGCGAAACCTCAGGTGGGTCCGCGTCAGACGCCGCTCCGGGTGGCTCCCAAGGGTCTCAAGAGGTGTCGGCCGCTCTGCTGGACTCCCCAGAGGATCAGAAAGTGGCAGCGGCAGAGCCTAGTCCTGCTTGGGTCCGCGCATAGCAGCGCTCCAGTGGAATCCAGCTTCAACTTCATAACTGAGATCACCATGTCGTGGCTGTCAGACATCTCGGCGACGTCATCCTGGGGCTCTTGGCTGCCAGACTGACCGCGCTCGGCTTCCAACAGCGAAGGCGAGGTCGCTGATCTTGAGGTTTGGACGTCGTGGAAAAGGACCGAGAGCCTGGCCCGCGCGATCCCCTGGAACCGATGTTGGCTCGGACCCCTTTCAGGCTCCTGATGATTGATAGGTGGAGCTCCCCCCCCTATCCCCATAATTCGATCTGAGTCGTGCCATTGCCAATCGTGAGCTGAAGCCTCACCCAGGAGGGTGGGGGTGGGGGGGGCGGGGGGGCCAACTTCGCCGTCGCGGCGGGCTCGATATGTTGGCGGGAGGTGGTTAGCTAGGACGGTCACAGGCCCAGAGCTGGACCGTCCGCACCGAACAGACTAGGGCGAGTGCGATGGACGGATCCGCCGTGCTCAGCTGCGTCTCGAACCACCAGAGCACGCAATTAGCTGTGCCATCCTCCGCACCCTCGAAGTCGAGCTCGCGGCGCGTCGGGATGTCATCGACGTCCGCCACGCCCAGCTCGAGGTCTAGCATCTCGATGGGCTTGGTGAGGATCCTGGGAGGGAGAAGGGGTAGGGGGCAACAGACTGCTCCCCCTCCTCCGCGACGCCCAGCTCGGAAAACGGAGCAAGACTGAACACAAGAGGCGGGGGACGGAGAAGGAGGACACCGATGGCGATGACGACGCCGAGGGCAGGAAGATGGAGGGAAGAAAGGTGGAGGGAAGAGGAGCATGGGAAGGAGGGTGAGCGATGAGAAAGGAGGGGGGGGAGGGAGGAGGGAGGCGGGAGCAGGGAGGAGGGAGGGGGGAGCAGGGAGGAGGGAGGGGGGAGGAGGGAGGAGGGAGGAAGAAGGAGGGAGGAGGGAGGGAGGAGGGAGGAGGGAGGAGGGAGGAGGGAGGAGGGAGGGAGGGGAGGGAGGAGGGAAGAGGGAGGGGGGAGGAGAGGGGAGCAAGGCACACCCCACATGGCCATCCTCCGCGGCATCCTCTGGGCAAGTGACTCCTGTCCAGCCGAAGGCAAGAGGAAAGGGAGGAGGAGGCGCAACGAGAGGAGGAGAAAGGAGAAAAGGAAGGACTAGAAGAAGGAGGAGGAGGAAAGAGAGGAGGAAAGGAATAAGGGAAGGGAGGATGAGGAGGAGGAGGAGGAGAAGAAGGAACGGGAGAGGGAGGAGGAACGCGAGAAGGAAGAGGAGGACGAGGAGGCGGAGAAGGGGGACGAGAGGGGAGAAGGAGCAGCAGCCGGGAGCAAGATGAGCCGCAGCAGCAGAAAGGAGGAGGGAGGCACACCGCCGCTTGAAGTCGCTCACCCGTCGGGAGCTCCAGATCGGGTAAGGGTCGCTAACATGTGTGTTGGATAATGTTTCCTGGGCGTTGATTGCGCTGGGGGGAGGCTGATTTCGGTGTGCTAGGAGCTGCGTGCGCACACTACACATCGGAGCTGCGATGGGGCAGATGCTGTTCGACATAGCTGGTCGATGGCACCTGGCCACGATGATGATTAGCGGCAGCAGAACTAATACTATGCTTACCTGCGTGGGCCATAAAACAATAACATGGTGCACTGCGGGTAGATGTGTCAAGAAATGTGATCAATGATGTGTGGCATTTGTGGTGTGAGTTGTCTGGAGGAAGCTACGTTGTGCAATCGATGTGGCACACTTGACTATATTGCACCGCGCGGGACCACCTCCCACGTTACTACAAACATCCCACCCACCCGAAATTTGACAGGCAAAACCTCATCAACCAACGATGACGATGACGAGGGCGATGTCGACCCTTTTGTCGAAGATGAAAGCGATGGCTGCTTGGTCATGGCTGGTGCATCCCTCTGGCCGCGATGGCGAGCGCAAGCTCGCGCGCACAGCGACCAGATGGTTTGGCACAACCGATGTGACCGCGATGGCGCTTACCGAATGCAACGTCCCAGCGCGTGTCAAAGGCCGCGCCAGCGCGCGCGCGCTTCCATGCGGGTCGGTGGCTCGGGCGGGCGCAGTATCATGATGAAGCCGACGACGCCGGCAAGGATGATGAAGATGATAGTAGCAATGGTGTTGTGATGATGACGATGACAACGGTACTGCCAATTTCAGCACCGATGCTGGTAACGCCGATGGCGATGATGATGTTCATGTGTCAATGACGAAAGTGCTTGAGTGATGATGGCGGCAATTGCGGCGATTGTCGATGGCGATGTCGTGATGCAACTGCGCTGATGATGGTGATGGCGAGGAAGCGCGCGCGAGGAAATCCAAGAACCCCAGGGAACTGCGCGCTGTGTCACATCTGCTTTGGAGAGATCCAATATGACATGATTAGAAAAAAAAGATGGCTTTGGGAAGACTATGTGGTGTGAGCTATGTGGTGTGAGCTGTGTGTTGCAAGCTGTGGGGTGAACCCTACGTGGTGCAATGTATGGGGTGTGAGATATGTGGTGCAAACTACGCGGTGCAATATATTGTTTGTTTTGGACGTGGGTTAATTTCAAGCGCTAACTCCCTGGCAGCAACAAGTCCGAACGAGGGCCCGAACAAACGCGAGCGCCAGAGGAAAGACACCACGACGAAGGGACAGCGACCGAGCGAAAAAACGAGGCCCGAAATCCGCAGGGACCGACAAGCCAGGGCGCGGTGCAACCCATATGATGTGATGCAGGCGGTGGAAGGTATGTCGTGCAAGATGATTAGTGCAATATACGCAGTCCAGTCTGTGTGGTGTGAGCTCTATGCGGTGCAGGATGCGATGAGCGAGTTACGCAGTGGAAACTGTATGATGCATGGATAGATGCCGACGTATAGATCTGCAGATGTGCATTACACCTGTGCGTATATCTGCGTCGACATCTATACACGCATGTATGCTTAGCAACCCGCTCGCCCGTCCGGGGGGGGTTGTGTGCCTGGCGAAGCCATAGTCATCGAAGCAGACTCCTGCCTCGACGCGCACAGGACAGCGCCCGCGCGCCACAGTCGACAGCGAGGCCGAGCACACCACCTCTTCGGCGAGCTCGGGCCGCACTGGCCATCACTTCTGGAATGTCTTCGAGAAGAGGCCACCTGTCTTGACCTCGCCGCCGCCTTTCGCTGACCCACCGTGTATGCGAGGCAAGAAGTGGAATGCCCCAAAGCTCAGAGCTCTGCTGCTGCGGCAGCCAGGACTCTCTAAGTCGTAATCACCCGGACCCTCCGTTTCCTGGGCTGGGCCTGGGTGCTGCGGGGTGTTCCCCGTGAGCCCTGGGGCTGCAGCCAGGATTGTAAGTCTTGAAGGGCCTGGATCCTCTGCCTCCTCTTCCTCCTTCTCCGCCTCCTCCTCCTCCTCCTCCTCCTCCTCCTCCTCCTCCTCCTCCTCCCTCCCTCCCTCCCTCCCTCCCTCCCTCCCTCTCTCCTCCCTCCCTCCCCCTCCCTCCCTCCCTCCCTCCCTCCCTCCCTCCCTCCTCCTCCTCCTCCTCCTCCTCCTCCTCCTCTTCCTCCTCCTCCCCCTCCCCCCCCCCCTCCTCTCCTCCTCCTCCTCCTCCTCCTCCTCCTCCTCCTCCTCCTCCTCCTCCTCCTCCTCTCCTCCTCCTCCTCCTTCTACTCCTCCTTCCTCCTCCCTCCTCCCCCTCCTCCTCATTCTCCGCCTCCTCCTCCTCCTCCTCCTCCTCCTCCTCCTGAATCCTCAACTACCAGAACTGCACTGGGGTGTTCCGGGGTGTCCCCCGTGAGCCCTGGGGTTGTGCCGCGGGTCCTCTAGACTCCTGTGCCCGCCCAGAGCGGGCCAACAGAGATTCGAGAAGCCCCCTGGGAAGTCCAAGAGGCCTCCGAGACGACTCTTACAATCATGGGCCTGACCTGAGGAACGATAAATAAGGCACGAAGCCGTTTTAAACCCAAGGAATGACGCATGAGGAGCGATAAATCATAAATAACGCAGAAAACGCATGCAAACCGAAGGAACAACCGAGCCCGTTTTGAAAAGTAAGTGTTCCTTATGCAAGCCGTCCACTGTATCGCTTTGCAAAACGCCCACGGCGGCCTCAAGGCGTCCCGAGACCCCCAAAGATTGTCCCAAGAGGTAGAATGTAATGATGTTCTGGAGGTTTGGGGGGGATTCTGACGTTCTCGCCTTCTCTAATTCCTGACGCTCCAAGACGGCCTCTGAGACCTCGAAGGCCGCCCCAAGACGGCCCAAGAGGCCGCCAAGAGCAGACGGCCCAAGAGGGCCCCAAGACTGCACAAGAGGCCTCCACGACGGCCCAAGAGGGCTCCAAGATCGCTCCAGGGGGGGGACGCGAACCGATATTTCGAGCCCCCAGGACGCGCCAAGAGGGCCCCAACAGGCTCCCAAGAGGCCTCCAGGGGCTCCCATCAGGCCCCCGAGAGGCCCGACGACACCCCCAGGAAGCCCCCAACAAGCTCCAAGAGTCCCCCAAGAGGCCCCCAGGCAGCCTCAGAACTGTCCTTAAGAGGCTCCCAAGAGCCCTCAGGAAAGACTCCAAAAATCATCCATGATGACTCCCACCCACAACCACGGCACCGAGAAGCCCAAAAGAACCCCCAAGAAGCCACCAACCAGCCTCGAAAGGCCTCAGTACGTCTCTAATTCTATCAAAGAGACTTCCCTGAAGCTTCGCAAGAGACTCGCACAGCCATGCTCAACAGGCTCCCTACAGGCCACGAGACTTCGAAGACGCCCCAGGAACGCTCTGAGGGGATCTACAGAGGTGCCAGAAGCGAACACCGTCCGAACAACATGCCGTTCAAGAAAGCTGCACGCAGCGGCTACGACAGCCTAGCCAATCCCTAAGACACCTGGCAAAACAGTCAATAAGCCTCAACACTGCCGCCATGAGATGGGGTATACGAGATGCGAGTGGCCGCTAGTAGTCTCGAATTCGACGCCCTAAGAACTCGAAAATCGCCCTGGTGTGCCGTCGCGTTCGTCGCCCCTCCATCCCTCAGTTCTGTCTTCGATCCTCGACACTCTCCGATCCCACTCATCCTCCTCCTCTTCCTCCTCCACAGAATCGTTCTCCTCCTCACCTAGCTCCGTGATCCTGTCCATCTCCGAGCACAACCAACCAGAAGGACTCGCGCCCGATCAAGAACCTCTGAACCGCAGCGCAGGCACGCAGGCACGGCGGTGGGATAGGCCGAAGGATAAATACATACCTATAGAGGAATACATGTATGAAACAAGCGTTCAGGGTATCTCACTTCCGTTCTTAAGAAGAGGGCCGTGTCTTCGGTCTGGCGACTATGTGGCCGCCGTCGCCGCCCCGTCGCCGCCTCGTCGCCGTCCGTCGTCTGGGCCGTGCTTTCGGTCTGGCGGCTATGTGGCCGCTGTCGATCTTGGCCGTGTTGGAGGCCATCTTGGGCCAACTTGGGGCAACAAAGGCATCGACGGATGCGTTTTGAGATGATTCCCGGGACCCCGGCGGGACACGCCGGAGCCCCAGGAGGAGTTCTTTTGGAAAAGAATCAAAACCAAAACCGAAATCATCTAGCACGCCAGGCACCCCTGCGATGAATCGACAGGGGGCGGCGGATCTAGTGGCCTTCGGCCTATCCCGCCACCGCGCCTGGATTGTAGGTTAGAGGCCTCTCGGATGTTCGTTTGGATATAGTGGGAGGCCTCTCAGGGGCCTCTTGGAGGCAGTTTTGAAGCCTATTGGGTGCCTTTGGGGCCTCTTCTTGGGCCCCTTGGGTGCCTCGTGGGGCCTCTAGGGGACCTCGTGGGCTCTCTTGGGGGCCTCTTGGGGCCTTCCGGGGGTCTCTCGGGGCGGAAGGCTCAAATTGTTGGTTCGTGTTCCCCCTCTTTGGGGCCCCTCTTGGGGCTATCTTTGGGCCCTCTTGGGCGATGTTGGGCGCCTTTGGGGCCGTTTTGGAGCCCTCTGCCGTCAAACAGCCCAAGAGGCCTCCAAGACGCCCAAGATGGCCTCCAAGACGGCCCTGGAGCACCCCAAAAGCGCTTCAAGTCGGCCCAGAGAGGCCCCCAAGACGACTTCAGACGGCGTCGGACGGACCAGGAACGCCCTGAAACAGCCAAAGCAGCCCCCGAGAAGCCCCAAGAGACCCAAGGAGGCCCCCAAGATGCCTCCAAGAGGCCCCCAGGAAGCCCCCAGGAGGCCCCAAGAGTGCCCCCAGCGGTGCGATCTATGTCGTGTAATACTTGTGGGTAGTCCATGTGGTAAAATATGTGTGGTGCAATGTATGTTGTGCAATTGACTACCCTGCACCGCGCTTGACCACCTCCATTGCTCGCGCAATCATCCCCCCCACTACCCGCAAATCGGTTTGCAAAACCCACGCGGTTGCGATTGCGACGACTGCGATGAGTGTTTGGCGTTGGCTGGTGCATCTCTGCGGCCGCGCCAACCCAAGCACGCGCGCGCGCAGCGGCCAGCTAGTTTGGCGCGACCGGCGCGGCTGCGGTTGCGCTGACCGCTGGGCACATCCCAGCAGGCACTTCAGTGCGAGTCGGCGAGTTGGGCGGGCGAGGTATCGTGGCAACGTCGACGAAGGTAGACACGATGATGATCGTAGCGATGCTGGTGACGATATTGACAACGACGACGGCGCGGCCAGTGCGGGCGCCGATGCTGATCATGCCGACGACGATGACGGCGTCCTCGCGCCGAAGATAAAGGCTTTGGAAAGAGTTCGACGTGCGCCAGCGGCGGACGCGCGAGAGTGGCCCGCATGGTATTATTGGACACGGATCGTGCCCCCCCAGCACGCGCGCAAGGGCGTGCGACTGATTTCGGCATCCGGCGCGAAAGGCCCGATTGGCAGAATGCCATGCAAATCTTGAAAAAAACTGTGTTTGTCTTAAGGATTCCCCAGAGCGCGAGCACAAGCTTTTTTGAAAACTGATGCTCCGAAGCCATGTATTTATATATGCGTTTGGATACTCGGTTTTGAAATCGCCACGAAACCATGGGCTTTCGACGGTTGTCGGCACGCGCGCGCGACAACGCGCGCGCGCACGTCGTCCCATTTGTTGCAAAGGATTCTCGCGACAGCACGCGCGCAAGGGCGTTCGAACGATTTCGACATGTGCGCGCGAAGCCTTTCCCGTAGAGTTTAGGAAAACGTTGAAGAACCGATGGCTTCCTTAAGAATTCGCAAGAGCGCGCGGGATGAAATGTTTGCAACATGTTTGGAGAGGGAAAAAAGTGTTCAAATTGAATTCGCTACGAAAACACAAGGTTTGAAATGGATTTCGTTTGGCGCGCGCGGCGGACGCGCGCATGCTGCCCGCATGGTATTAGTTGATAGGGATTCGCACCACAAGCTCATCTTAGATCAACGCATGCGCACTGCATGGTACTGTTTGACATGGGCGAGGGGGGGCGGATACCAGCTCGCCTGGGATGGTAGGAACCCATTGGGACAATGAGCAAGGAGGCAGAATCATATGAAGATTACATCACGCGGGGCCGAGCTGATAACCCCGGGGGGGGGTGGGGGGAGCATCTGACTTCTTGCACCAGAAGCGAATCTGTGTGGGGCGCGGACCTTGCACTGCACGCGCACGGGGCGGCCACGCAGCGGCCACGGGCGGCAACGTGGCGAAACCTCGCCGAACCTGTGGCACTGTCTGGGCAAGCGAATCTAATGGAGGCAGCAGCGACAGGAGGAGCGGGCCGAGGAGGAGGACTGCCTCGGCTAGGGTCCTGAAGTCCCCCTCGCCCTTGTCCAAATCCACTGTGAGCCAGAGCGAGGAGCCCATACGTTCCAGGGGCCAGAAGGGCCAGAACGCATCCATGTTGACGCCGTTCAGGTCTGGAAGCTTGACCTCGCAGAGCACCCCGAAGAGCTTCAGCCTCGCGGGTATGACTGGCGCCCCCGGCACGCACAACCGCCTGCGGGCGCTGCGCGTCAGCTGCACGAGGTTCTCGCCGAGCCCCGACGCGTCCATGAGCTCGCTCACCAGCACGTTGAACTTCATGTCGTCGGGCGGCTCGCTCACGCCGCGGACGTCAGTGCACCAAATGTCCAACGGCGCGGACTCCAGAGCCGGGATGGGCGCCTCAGAGTCCAGCTTCGCCGGGCGGTTTGCCGCCACCACCTCCTCGGAAACCCGGGCGATGGCAGTGACGACCTCCACGCCGACTGCGGCAGATGCACCCGCGCGCAGCGCCATCATGGAGAGGATGCCATCGCCGCTTCCTACGTCCAGCACGCGGCACTTGCCCATGGCCTGCTTCACCTTGGCTATCTCCGCCTGCAGCGCCGCCTCGTACAGGTCGTGCCGAGCTGAGTCCCGGAGCATCTCGAAGTACCACTCGGAGAGCGCGGCATAGCCGAAGGGAGGCTCCCGCGCGCAGGACCAGTCCCAATCCACCCAGACGCGACCCGCGCCGCAGCGCGCCGACACGCCGCTGACCTCCTGTGAGGGGCAACGACAGGGGGGGGACAGGCATAGGGGGTGATGCATCGACCTGGAATCGGCGATACATCGTCGATAGATCGGCGATAGGCCCCCGATAGTGAATCCGCACCTTCCTGGGCTGGGTAGGGCTATCGGGCCCCTATTGGCGATCAATGGGCGATTATCGGGAGCGGCCAAGAGGGGGGTGTCCAAGAGGGGGGGGTGCAAATCATGACCGGCGGCATGTGCGCGGCCCAGCGGGGGGGCCAGGGACGTAATGAAATAAGAAGAGGCGCCATGAAATCTGGGGAAATATCATGGCCCTCGCCATGATATCAACCCCCCATAGTCTTCACCCCCCTCTTTTCCGCCCCCGAGATCAAAAGTCAATACCCCCCCTATGCCTATCCCCCCCTGTCGTTGCCCCCGATCCTGCCCCTCGGCCACGGGGCACCCGCCCGCCAGCCACTGCGCGGAGCGCAGCTCCGCCCGCCCCGCGCCGGCCCCGCTCAGGCGGAGCTCCAGGGACACCACGGCCGCGGTGGCGCACCCCGTGCGGAGCCCGCGGGGCCGCAGAGGCACGGCCCTGCCGGCCACGTCGCTCAGCACGCTGGCGGCGCGGCCGAGGTCCAGCTCGAAGGCGACGACCTCCTCCGTGAGGGGCCTGGGGCGAAATGCCGTGGGGTGCGCCCCGGGGCCTCGGGGGCCGCCGCCGGCCCCCTCGGGCAGCCCTGCCCGCAGCGGCGGCAGCGTCAGGCCGCGGAAGCGCGCGTCCATGCGGGACAGGTCGAAGCCCGACTGGTCCGCCAGGCGGCCGTCCGCCAGCTGGACCCGCACGGCAACCCCCGACGGAATCACGCCGCGGATGCCACTGGGGCCTGCCGCAGCGGCCGCCGCCTCGAGCGCCTCCAGCGGGCCCCACGCCAGGCCGCCAGTCCCGTGCCACAGCTCGACGACCACGAGGTCCCACGTGCCCGCCCCCAGCGACTCCTGGACAGTGCACTTGGCAGCCTCCTCGGCCGTGAGGTTCCGCCTCAGCACCTCGCGCGCGGCGGTGACGACGAAGCGCCGCGGCTCCAGCACCACGACCCTCGCCGCCCCAGCCCGCACAGCGGCCACCGCCGAAGCGCCGTGGCCGCCCAGCACGAGCACCTGCGCGCCGCCTGGGGGCAGCGCCCGCACGCGGGAGTCCGTCTCCCTGGCGATCGCAGCGAACACATCGTGAACGCTGCCCGGCCCCGTCTGCGCCAGGTACTTCGCCCGCTCGAAGGGCGCGTCGAACTCCGACATCTTCCGCGACAGGCTCAAGTAGGCGCCAGGGCCTTCTTCGTCCCATGAGCTGTCCTCCGCGAAGGCCGACGGGTCCTCGCGTAGGCAGAGCTCCCTCAGCGCGGCATCCGCGCCCAAACGTCTCACGGCGTCGTCCACGAGCGCGTGCGTGTCCGGATAGCTGGGCGCGCGGCAGTGCTCGGTGCGGAACTCCAGGTTGAGCCGCCGAAGGTCCGCCTTGCAGGCCTGCATGGACTGCACCACGGCGTCCCGCAGGCGCTTCTCCTCGGCCACGAGCTCCGCCGCGGTCCCCCGCCGGCGCGCAGCCCACGCCGCCGCGTCCGCCTCCGCGAACGCCGCGTGCGCCTTCTGCGCCTCCCGGAGCGCCCGGACCGCGGGGACGCCCCCGTCCCGCTCGAGCGGGGCGTTGGGGTGCGGGGGCGGCCTCCACTGGAGGACGGGAGCGGGCTGGGCGGCCGCGGGCACGGGCGCGGGCGCGGCAGGGGCGGCGGTCGGCGGCTTGGCCTCCACCGGGGGCTCGGGCAGCGGCACGCCCTCCCTGGTCGCCAGGTCCAGGAGCAGCTCGCTCCGCGGGTGGGCCCGCAGGCCCTCGACGAGGACCTCCCGCGCAGCGCCATCGCAGCCGAGGTCCCGGAAGTCCGCAAACGAGCTTGCATAGAACTGGGGCCCGGTCATGGCACGGCGGCGGCAGTGTGAGACAAAGGTCGTAGGGCCAGTTTCGGGCGCCTCTTCGTCCTGCTGCTGCTGCTGCTGCTGCTGCTGCTGCTGCTGCTGCTGCTGCTGCTGCTGCTGCTGCTGCTGCTCATCCGCCTCCTTCTTCTCTTCCTCTTCCTTCTGCTCCTCCTCCTCATCATGATCTCCTCCTGGTCCTCCTCCTCCTACTCCTCCGCCTCCTCCTCCTCCGCCTCCTCCTCCTCCTCCTCTGCCTCCTACTCCTCCTCCTTGCTGCAATTAACCTCCCAGCTCCTGCTCATTCTTCTCGTTATCAGCCTCCATGTTACTTTTCCTCTTCCGCCTCCTCCTCCTCCTCCTCCTCCTCCTCGTCCCCTCGTCCCTCTCTGCTTCCTCCCCTCGCGCCATCGCTCGGACGTCCATTCCCCGTGCATGTTTCGGCTTCGTGCGTGTTTTTTCTGCCCGGTGATCCAGAATGCTCCAGGATGGTCCTCGCCTAGAAACATGCAAATGTCCGAGCGATGCCCTTCGTCCTCCTCATCCTCTACCACCTTTGCCTCAGCCTTCCACCCCTCCCTTCCGCTCACTTCCATATATCCTCCGTCTCCTCTTCATTATCGTTGTGTTCCTGCTGCTGCTGATCTTTCTTCTCCGCCTCCTTCTTCTCCTCCACCCCATCTACTACGTTTACAAATAATGTATGGACATGCGTGGACTCGGAGGTTTTGGTTCGGTTTTGGGCTTCGGTCGACGTCCGCGCCACAATGCGAATACCTGACTGATACAGCTACAAAATAATGCAGAAACGAAGACAGCACAAAAATAAAACACTGGGAAAGATACGGCACAAATACAGCACGCATGCCGAATGTGCAATATTATTGTGATAACCACTCAGCCAAATTCAACAACACAACATGAATGCGATATGTTTGCCTGCGTGCACACCAAACGCCAAGCTCTTGCAGAATGGATGTGTAAGCTATAAAGTGGAAGCTGCGTGGCCAGAGATGCGGCAACGAAGCGGCAACCAGGGGGCACCAACTAGGCACCAAACAAAACCCCGACACACCCTCCCAGCGCACGAGGCGGCAACGAGGCGGCACCTTGACGGCACCAACAGGGCACCAGCCGAAGCCTCGACACGTCCTCCCAGCGCACGAGGCGGCAACGAGGCGGCACCAACCAGGCACCAGCCGAAACCCCGACACCCCCACCAAACGCACAACGCAGCAACGAGACGGCAACCAGGCGGTACCCAACCGGGCACCAGCCGAAACCCCAACACTCCCACCAACCGCACGAGGCGGCAACGAGGCAGCAACGAGGCGGCAACGACGCGGCACCAAATACGCAAAAACCGGAACCCCGACACGCACACCCAGCGCACGAGGCGGCAACGAGGCGGTAACGAGGCAGCATTGACGGACGCGACACCAACCGGGCACCAACCGAAACCCTGGCACGCCCACCCAGCGCACGAGGCGGCAACGTGGAGGCAACGAAGCGGCACCAACCAGGCAAAAGCCGGAACCTCGACACACCCACCAAACGCACGACGCGGCAACGAGGCGGCAACCAATCCAAGCGGTACCCAATGAGCAAAACCCCGACACTCCCACCAACCGCACGAGGCGGCAACGAGGCGGCAACGACGCGGCCCAAACAGGCAACAACCGAAACCCCGACACGCCCACCCAGCGCACGAGGCGGCATCGAGGCGGTAACGAGGCGGCGACGAGGCGGCCACCAACCAGGCATCAGCCGAAGCCCCGACACACCCACCCAGCGCACGACGTGGCGACGAGGCGGCGACCAGGTGGCCCCTCTCGGGCACCAGCCGAAACCCCGACTAACCCATACAATACGCGAGCAAAACAAAGAACCCCTAAGCGCAAGCAGTGCTTGTGGAACAACGGTGCAACACAATACTACAAACGGGCGCGTGCGAGCCCAAAGTTTCGGCGTCGGCGCTGTCCGCCGAAGCGAGGGTTTGGGGCCCCTCTGGGCCTCCCAGTCTGCCCAGAAGCGGCACGCTCCCCCGAAACACTGACCGCTGAACTTCCAAATATGAATGGCATCGGCCGAGATTTCGGTCACTGGCCATACCACTCGAAGACGACACGACGAGGTCGTTGGATGAGGAGCCATAGGATACACCCCTGCTCAGAGTTACGAAAATCTCACGCTGAGAATATCGGCTTCATACCTAGCGTTTTCTCACTATACGAACCAAAGAAAAACAAAAACAAAAAAAAACATCCAGAGTCCAGGCCAAATGATTCACTTTCTTATGCGAAATCTGAAGTCCATGAATACTTCGGGTTTTCCCCGACCATCCTGTGGTGTTGGGTCCTCGTTTTGAAGAGACAGCGTCCCGTGTTTACTCCTCCTCCCGCTGCCCCCTCCCACCTTCTCTCTTGTTATTCTTATTCATCATCATTGTCATTATCATCATCAGCAGTATCATCATCATAATCATCATCAGCATCATCATCAGCATCATCATCATCAGCATCATCATCATCATCATCATCATCATCATCATCATCATCAGCATCATCATCATCCTCAGCATCATCAAAAGCATCAGCATCAGCATCATCAGCATCAGCATCATCGTCAGCATCATCATCATTCGCATCATCATCATCAGCATAATCATCATCATCTGCAGCATCAGCGTAATAATCATCATCAGCATCACCAGCATCATCATCATCACCACCACCACCATCATCATCATCAGCGTCATCATCATCAGCAACATCATCATCATCCTCATCCTCATCCTCATCATCATCATCATCAGCATCATCATCATCATCATCATCGTCGTCGTCGTCGTCGTCGTCGTCATCATCATCATCATCATCATCACCATCATCATCATCGCCATCACCCGTTTCAGCACACCCCTCGCACGTTTGGTCCCATAAGGAGCTCCACGGAAGGCCCCAGTACTACCGCCCGCATGCGTCACGAACACCCAGTACAACGCTTCGTGGCCCCATAGGGAGCTCCACCGAAGGTCCGATTGCTACCGCCCGTGTGCGACCCCCCACCCCACCCAGTATAGCGCCTCGTGGCCCCATAGGGAGCTCCACCGAAGGTCCCAGTGTTGCCGCCCGCGTGCGACCCCCCCACCCAGTGCAGCGCTTCGTGGCCCCATAGGGAGCTCCACCGAAGGTCCCAGTGTTACCGCCCGCGTGCGACCACCTACCTAGCACATCGTTTCGTAGCACCACGTGGACCTCCACCGACAGCCCCACTGCTACCGCCCGCATGCTTTCCCCCCACCCAGTACAGCGCTCCGTGACCCCATAGGGAGCTCCACCGAAGGCCCCAGTGCTACTGCCCGCATGCGTCCCCCCAACCCAGTATAGCGTTTCGTGGCCCCGTAAGGAGCTCCACCGAAGGTCCCAGAGCTACCGCCCGCATGCGCCCCCCCCCCCACCCACCACCAACCCACCCACCCAGTACAGCGCTTCGTGGCCCCATACGGGGCTCCACCGAAGGTTCCATTGTTACCGCCCGCATGCGTCCCCCCACCCAGTACAGCGCGTCGTGGCCCCATAGGGAGCTCCACCGACGGCCCAAGTGCTACTGCCCGCATACGTCCCCCCCACCCAGTATAGCGCCCCGTGGCCCCATAGGGAGCTCCACCGACGGCCCCCGTGCTACCGCCCGCATGCGTTCCCCCCCACCCAATGCAGAGTTTTCGTGGCCCCGGAGGGAGCTCCACCGAAGGTCCCAATGCTACCGCTCGCATGCGCCCCCCCCCCCCCCAGTACAGCGCTTCGCGGCCCCACATGGAGCTCCACCGACGGGCCCCGTGCTACTGCCCGCATGCGTCCCCCCCACCCAGTACAGCGCTTCGTGGCCCCATAAGGAGCTCCATCGAAGAAGATATTCACAATTGCGGTACTCACAACTGCATATGGTTGGGTTCTTCGCCAAAATAATTCTTAAGATGTCTGATAGGTCTAAGGAGTCCAAGGTCTGGAAGCCGGTGGAACTCCCATCGTGGTTTGGCCATAGAGATCACTGCCGCTCTCATCAGATAAGAAATCCCCCAGGGTGTGGAGCCTCCTGTGCACAAGCATTAACCACCGCCCCCACCGTACTACTACGACTACTACGACTACTCAGCCCTGGAGAAGCCGTGGGCTGCTGAGGCCCATTGGCCTCACGACCTTTCGGCAACTGTTTGAGCCTGCGATCTTGAACCAAAACTTGCCCATGCACGCGGCGAGCTCCAGCACTGGCAGCACTGGACGCGAGCACGATTCGCGCGACAAGCTGTGGATAATTTGCCTACGCCTCCTCACTCGTCACATGTATTGATAGGGCTGCATGCAGCATACATGCCCTGATGCATATAACTCGTTCAAGGCGCATATACCCAGCGCGTAGAAGGAGCATGTGGTCTGCATGCGTGTTTGCCCGTGTGTACCAACAGAGTCCACGTAGGGCAGCAAGAAAGTGGCAATGACCCTCGCACTCAACATGTATAACACATGTGCGCAGCACGCCAGGTGTCCATGCAAAATGAAAGTGCCAGCGGAGCATGCCTTTTTCCCAAAAACCTTGCTTGCACTGAGAAAAGTAATTGCTGTTGCACATGCGACAAAAGAAACCCATTGGTCAGCCCGAGAGTAGTTTGGGGTGTGCGCCGGTGCGTCGGTTGCCCGGATAAGTGCGCTGGCAGCCCTGCCTAGCCCTGCCCTGGCAGGTGTGTATGTCCTGGTGGCGCGCTCACGCGCCACTTGTCCAAGAGAGGCCGCTCGGGGCGGGAGCTGGCGCCAGGCCCCTGCCCCCATTGGGGTACATCTTTCTTACCTGCCACGTGCAGTTGGCGCAGCCCCTAAAACAGGAATCGGAGGGAGGCAAGGAAGTTAGCCTGGCGAAAGACCTAACCATATGAGTTGTGAGTAAAGCAGTTGTGAGTATCGTCTTCGGTGGAGCTCCCTATGTGGCCACGAAACGTGTGAGGGGTGTGCCGAAATGGGTGGCGGGGACGCG